GCGCCGTGCGAGCGCGGTGGCGAGGGCGGCGGCGGCGGGGCACCCTCTTTTCCGGCGGGCTGGCGCAGGGGGGCAGCGTGCAGGTGGGGGGGACCAGCGCATGTGCGGTGGCAGCGCATGGGGGGCCTCCCAGCACCATCTCGTCGGCCCCTGCGAAGCGACGCTGATCGACACTAAATCGGCGCTAAACCGACGCTAATCGAGGCCAGCCGACGCCAAATCGGCGTTATCCCATCGACTCCCAGACGCTAATCGACGTTGGTCGACGCTAAAGACGGCTTTAAGAGGGCATACCAGGCTCCCATGATTTGCCACCGAACCCATGGAGGGGGGCATCGAGCTGGAATTGGCGGGATACATCGTAGCTGGATCGGCGATGGTGCCCCCGATCGCGGGACCGCACGGTCCCAGGTGGGGTGGGCTGTCAGGCCCTTATCGGCGATCAGTAGGCGACTGGGAGTCGATGCGTCACCCCTGAGTCTTCGGTGGCAACCCATGGGAGCCTCCCACACCATCTTGTTGGCTTGTCCAGATCGACGCTGGGCGACGCTGAACCGCCGCTAGCTGACGCCAAATCGACGCCACACGCCACGCCAGTCGACGCTAGTCGGCGCTGCAGACGATGTGAAGATGGTACACGAGGCTCCGATGGTTTGCGCCCGAATGCGGCCATGGTCCTGTTCTTAACGTGTATGTTTAGGTCGGGCATGTCCTCCTACAGGCGGATTTTGGACGAAGAATCAACCATACCAGAGAGAAGCCCCGATCATATGTTTTCGGGGCTATGGAGCTATAGGGCTATGGGGCTATGCGGCTATGGGGTTATAGGGCTAGAGAGCTAGAGGGCTAGACGGCTATAGGACTATTGGGCTGTTGGGCTGTAGGGCTATAGGGCTATAAAGCTATAGGGTTGTTGGGCTATAAGGCTGTATTACGATTGGGCTATAAGGGTTTTGGGCTATAGGGCTATAGGGCTAGAGGGCTATAGGGCCGTAGGGCGATAGGGCTGTAGGATGATTGGGCAATTGGGTTATAGGGCTATAGGGCTGTAGGGCTATAGGGCTACAGGGCTATACGGCTACGGAATTCTACGGCTATAGGGCTATGGGACACCTGGGCACCCGGGCACCCGGGCGGGCCGCCGAAATCGGCGACGCAGCTCCCGGGCACCCGGGCATCCGGGCACCCGGGCGGGCCGCCAAAATCGGCGGCGCAGCTGACCTAACCATGTGAATCCGCCAGGATCCATACAGGGGCAAGCTCTGATTGGGGAAAAATACTCCGCAACTATTCAAACACAGTCAGAAAATCATCCCCATATCATGTTTTTGTTATGTTTGAATATTCCTCCTGTGGGGGGACGCGCCCGACTTAAGTGTATCTGATCTCGCGCCCTGCGAAAACCGAAGCCGCCGACACGCTCAGCGCAGCGCAGAGGCGCACACGCCGAGCAGGGTCGGGCGACACGGCCCTCGGGTGCACGCTGGGAGCCAGCCGCGCAGGATACACGCGAGGTGCGGAGCACTGGGCGTGTGCAGGCGCATTGCCAACTACACGACAAGAGGCGGACCAGGACGGCCTGGCAGGTTCGCGCCGTGCCGACACTCTGGCGCCGGCTTCTGACACCGCGGAGATCCTTCAACCTTGAACGATACGGTAAGTGCGGAGCACTTAGCGCGTGCAGGCGAAGTTCTTCCCACACGATCAGAACAGGACCCCATGACACTCTGGCGGGTTCGTGCCGCGCCGCCTTTGGCGCCGGTTTCTGACACCGTGGACATCGTTCAAATCTGGAACGGTCAGCCTTTTCCGAAATGTCAGATGCTTCAACATCGACCGATTCTGGGTCGCCAGCGGCGTTCAACTTTGAGCGCACGCGGCGGGGTGGCCGCCAGTCGGCACGTCGCGAACCTACCGTACAGTGGAGGCCCGACCACAAGAAACCTCCCACAAGAAACACAACCCTGAGGCCCCAGGACGTCCCTTGATTTCTGGCGTGGGGGCGTCACCCGTTCCACGGCAAGACCAGCGAAGACCAAGAAACCCAGGGCACCCTGCAGGCAAGCAGGGTGTTTCTTGGCATGGGCCTCCAGGAGGCGGAGGCGTAGGCGGAGGAGGAATAGGCGAAGGAGGAGGAGGCGGAGGAGGAGGAAGTGGAGAGGAGGAGGAGGAGGAGGAGGAGGAGGAGGAGGAGGAGGAGGAGGCGAAGAGGAGGAGAGCGAAGGAGGAGGGTGGTTTCTTAACATGGGGCCCCACTGAAGCCTGTGCCGCCCCCCTGCTGGTTGTTGCCCCTGATGGAGGTCCCCCCGCCTCGGCGGCGCCGCGCGCCGCTGCCGCGGGACCTCCTCCTCTCCGCGCTCCTCCTCCTCCTCATCCTCTCCTCTCGGCCCCCTCCCCCCCCGCCCCCTCCCACTCCCCCTCCCCGCCCCCCCCCCCCTTTCCCCCCCCCCCCCTCTCTCCCTCCCCTCCCCTCCCGCTCCCCCTCCCCCTCCCCCCTCCCCTTTCCCCCCCTCCCCCTCCCCCTCCCCCTCCCCCTCCCTCCCACCCCTCCACGGCGGAAAGAGGGCCCTCGTCCCGCGCCGCGCCCAGTGCCCAAGGCTCTCCGTGGCGAGCAACTCAACGAGCACCCCTGAAGCGATCCCTATCCTTAGGTACGGCAGGGTCCTCCTGCAGGCGGATCTTGAAAGAAAACGTAAGGATAGTCAACAACATTTCAACAAAGAATCGAACAAGTGTCCCCAGACTATGTTGTCCCATGTTTGGAAGATTGCTTCTGTGGAGGGACATGCCCGACTTAACCCTATCCCCACTGGCGTGCCCTGGGCCCCACTGGCTGATCGAGGGGAGGCAGGCTGCTCCCTGCGGCTGTCGAGGGGCATGTCCCCAACTGGGGTGCTGAGATCGTCGGGCTCCGGATGGAGACGGGGATGAGGGTTCGTTAAGCGATACTGACTCAAGGGAGCTTCCCATTCCATCGTGCTGGCTCTTGCGCATCGGCGCTCGTCGACGCGAATCGACGCCCACCAGCGTTACATCGGCGCTTTCTCGTCGATTGCCAGACTCCAGACACCAGCGCACGCTGACGCCGCCAGACACCAGCGCACGCTGATGCCCTCTAAAAGCCGAGATGCGAAGACATACGAGGCTCCCATGAGCTGCATTCGAACCAGGTGCGCCCGAGCGGCTGGGGGGGCGCGCAAGCCTGCGCGCACGCCACCTGCACCGGCCCTTGCAAGAGTGGACGGCAGAAATGGGAACGGCGATGCCCAACAGCAAGTGTTCTCCAAAACCAACAGCGGCCGCTGCTGGGCAGGCGGCCTTCTGTCTCAAATGAACACCGTCCGAGGCGACACCGACAGCGAGCCCTGTTCATGATGGGCAAGAACTGCTGTTGGACTTTGTACCCATTGTTCCCGTACCCGTACCCCCAACTCCACAATAGCGGGGAGGAAGCCAAACAAGTGTTTGACGGCGCATCTGGGATCATCCTAAAACTAGTGCGTCCGCATCAAAACCCCTCCCAGACAGACAACAACGGGTCCCAAATCGAAGACCCCCCACAATCTTGTCTGACGAGGCTCGTTAGCCCCCCATCCGAAGAACATTGAGATCCTTGTATTTCATATTTCTCGATAGCTGCCTTTGCCAGCCCCAGCCAAGGCCCCCCCCACCTCCCTAGGTACTGTCAGAATTCGTGCTGACCTCCGAGTTGGCTCTGGTTATTCCTGAAGGAAGCCCACAATGCGCCTGCTCGGGGATCTACTGTTCGGGGTGTTCGGGGTCAGTCCGCACCCGGGTCAGTCAGGCCGTGCAGGATCCTGAAAGATCCTGCAGTCTACTGCAGGCTCCTGCACCCAAGCCCAGGTCAGTGCTGCCCTGGCTCTGCAGGGTCCTGCACGATCTGGCGCTCTGGCTGACCGCCGTTAGCATCAACCCCCGTCTCGTGAGCCCCGAAACGTGCTCTTATTGTAAGATCCTGAGTGCCCGCTCCGCGGCTCCAGAGGTCCCGACTTCTTCCCTGGGGGTGGTTTTCATTCCAGATTCATGTTTGATGGTCCCCGGGCCCGATACCGGGCCCTGGAGGCCGAAATCCAGGAAAAATCGCCGAATGGGACGTGCTCCTGCTGTGAGGTCCGGCATGCCCAATCCGATCCTACCTCAAGCAGAGACCGATCGCCCCAGCATTCCTATAGGCCTACCCAAAAAATGTTCTTTGAACCCCAAAAATTCGAAAAACAAAGACAGAGTGAATAAGAACGTGAACCCGATGCGTTGAAACAAGACAGTCTCAGCCAAAAATATTCTAAGAACTTCTCGCGCAGACAACAAGAGGTCCTTGGACAATTCTTTGGTGGGCCTATAGGCAAGCCGGGACGCTTCGTCACTGCACGATGCAGGGCCCGTGACCTTGGAAGCCCGATATGGATGGGACCAAATGGGCACAATGGCCAATAACAAATGTTGTCCAAAACCCACAGCGGCCGCTGTTGGGCAGGCGCCTTTTCTGTCTTCAGAGAACAGCGTCCGCGGCGGCGCCGACAGCGAGTCCTGTTCAAAATGAGCAAGAAGACACGTCGTTGCTGTCGTCGTCGTCTTCGTCGTCGTGTCGTCGACCGTCGTCGTCGGCGGCGTTGACGTGGGTGTCGGCGTCGGCGCCGGCGTCGTCGTCGTCGTCGGCGCCGGCGTCGCCGTCGTCGTCGCCGTCGTCGCCGTCGGTCGATCGTCCCGAGTGGCACAGAGCCGGCGCGCAGGCGTGCCGCCGGCGCGCGCGGCCCGCCGCGCGCCTGAGGCTCGCTGGTGGAGCGCGCCGCGGAGGACGAGGAGAGCCAGCGACGGGTACTCCCAGCTCGAGCTCGGCGGCGGCCATGCACACCCCGTCCCCCGAGCTTCCTTGCTGGCCTGCCGCGGTGCGAGCTCTCGTGTGGAGCTGCCCCGGGCCACTCGCGGCACAGTCGGGAGGGCGGGTCGCGGCTCCAGCAGCGGAGGGCGTACGCCGGCAGTCACCACCTGGAGGGCCCGAGCTTTTCTTATGGTCTGCCGAATCGGACATGCAACTCCGAACGCTCTGACATCCTCGAACCCAATCTAGACAACACGATACCACGCTAGGCCATGCAAGATCAAAAATCTCTCAACGCGCCGTCTGCTCACTGGCCGCCTTTTCCTCTTTCTCCTGCTTCCAACCACTGGCCACCGCCTCGCATCTTCCTCTACACAAACTCGTGTGTTTGATGATGTATGTGTATATCTCCCCCCAACGAAAAATTCAGTTACGGTTTGCTCCGTGGCGATTGCGGTATTGGATGGGTGTGCCGAGACTTGACGGAGCGCGATCCGCTTTCGCTGCCGTCGCTAGCCTAGAATATTTCTAAGGGGGGTGGGTCAGAAACCAAGGGACCCCCCCTCCCCCTAACCCCCCCGTCCCAACCTCCCCCCCTCGCGAAGAATTGAGAGGTCCAGACCCGCCCTCCCCTCCCGGGAAAATTACTCGAGGGGTCTAGAATGCCCACCCCCGGCAGCAACGACGACGACACGACGTCGTCGCCGGCGGCGGCGGCAAACGACGCGGACGACGACGACGACGCGGACGCGGACGACGACGACGACGACGACGACGACGACGACGACGACAACGACAACGACGACGACTACGATGGCTCACATAACATCCTACTAAGGGTGGGTCCTACTCTTCTGAAAACAGGTAACGGAGTCCTACTATGGTTCGATCCAGCTTGAATCCGATCGCATTGACCTTGGATCCCGCTCACATAGATACCTACTACAGCCCGATGCTGCTCTACTCGAGGCGTGCTATGCTTGAGTCCAGCTTTGGAAAAAAGGCAACAACAACTCCCCATGTATCGATCCAGCCCTGACACAATCCCAGCGGGGCTGGATTTAGCTGTAACAGAAAGCTCAGATGGTCGGGTCCAGCTCTAATCGAATCCAACCAGGGCTCGATCGGGCTCTAACATAATCCTGCAAAAGCTTCGTCCAGATCTAACAACGTCCGTGCACGAGTCGATCCAGCTCTGTCAGATCGGATTAGGGATCGATCCAGACCTAACATAATCCCACTCGAGAAGGATCCAACTCAACATAATCCCACCAGGGCTCAATCCAGCTCAACTAGAATCAAACGGCGGCTGGGTCCAGCTCTAAGAGATTCGTACCAAGGCTGGATCCATGTCTGATGGAATCCTACTGAAGCTCGGTCACGCACTAAGGCACCATCACTTTTTAAATTGGACCCAGCTGTAATAAAACCCTACTGGGGCTCGGTCCATCGCTAGATCTAATCCAACCACGGACCCATCCAGTTCTAATCGCATTTCACTCGTGCTCCAACTCTAACTGAATCCGATCAGGGCTGAATCGAGCCCTGATCGAATCCTACGAGGGCTGGCTCTACGACGACTAAGAGAAACATATCAAGGCTGTGTTGAAGTCGTATGGGATCTTACTGAAGCTCGACCCCGCATTAACGCACCATCTCTTTTGTGAAATTGGATGCAGCTCTAATCGTATCCTACTGCGTAGGGCTCGGCTCATTTCTGATAGCCCCTCTGGTAAAGTCCAACTGAGGCCCCAGCCATCTCGAATCGCATTCAACTAGCCGCAGGAGGTCTTTGGTTCAGCTGCCCCCCTGTTTGCCTCGACGGGGATTAAAACTCGTCCCCCTGTTTGCCTCGACGGGGATTAAAACTCGTCCCTGCTCTTCCTGCTGCTGCTGCTGCTGCTGCTGCTGCTCCTCCTCCTCCTGCTCCTTCTCCTCCTCGACCTCCTCCTGCTTCTCCTCATCCTCCTGCTCCTCCAGTTACTACTGCTGCTGCTGTGACTGCGACTGCTGCAACTAACGACGGACGTTGTTTTGCCGCTTTCGGGCTCTAGAAGCCCTCACGGGGCCCCGGGACCGTCCAAAGAAGACTCAGGACGAAAAGTCCCTCCCCCCCCTGCCACCGCCCCCCCCCTGGTCACGTCGCGATTCGCGCCGGCGCCGTGGGACTGGGCATTCCTATATGCAAGCCCCAGACAACGCCGGCGCGAATCGCGTCGTGACGGGCCCCCTCCCCTGCCCTCGGTCTCGCCCGTCATCGTCAGAGGGTGAAAAAACTGGCACCTCGAACATCGACCATCGAACCTCGAGGTTCAGCAGAAGGGTCCTCCCTGCCGATTCAGGCACCCGAATTATCCGCGATAGACCTGGTCCAGATAGAGCCCCTTTTGGAGTCCCCACATATGGTCCGGGAAAATGGTCTGGGTTAACCCCAGCTTCAGGACAGTACTCGACAGCATCTACGTGGGGCAGAGTGTGACCAGGGGAAAGGACATTCAAATACGGCGCAATTCCAGGACAACTCTGGCGCGAAAGTGAGAGGCCCGAATCCGGAGATATATCCCTGACCACCCCCTACCCTGACAGCTCGGGGCTCTGACCGATCGTCGTCCTCGACCTCCCCGACCTTGGGCGAGAAACAGGCCCGTATCCGCGGACTGCCCGGGCTCGCAGGCCTGCGGATGCAGGCGTCGTTTCGCGGAGGCCCCGCGCGGAACGCATCAGTGCGGCCGCGAGGGCGAGGATACAGACACGTTGGCCGCTCGTGGGTCATGCTCGTCCTCCCCGTGGGCGGTGGGCCCACCCGCTGCCGCGCGGAGGTCCGAATCGGAAGGGCCGAATCAGGAGTTACGCCTCAGCCCACCCCCTGCTCTGATAGCTCGGGGCCTTGATCGATCCTCCCCTCCTCCTCCCCCTGCTCGTCGCCGTCGTCGCAGTGGTCCTGATGCTCCTTGTGTCCCCATGGGCTGAAGCTATGGTGCTTCACCCTCCAGTCTGTCTTCTCACCGAGCAGCCTTCGAAGACTGCCTGACCTGACCTGACTGCGTCTCCTCCTCCTGCTCTCCCGCTCCTCCTCCCCGTTTTCCTCCTCCTCCTCCTCCTCCTCCTCCTCCTCCTGCTCGTTCTCCGTTCGTCCTCGTCCTTTCCTCATTTCGTCGTACTCCTCCTCCTGTCCTCCTCATCTTCCTCCTCCTCCGCCTCCTCTTCCTCCTTTCCTCCGCCTCAGTCTCCGCCTCCTCCTCCTCCTCATCCTCTCCCTATTATGTTCCTCCTCCTTTCCTCCTCCTCCTCCTCCTCCTCCTCCTCCTCCTCCTCCTCCTCCTCCTCCTCCTCCTCCCCCACCGTCTCCACCTCCTCTTCTTTCTCGTCCTCCTCCTCCTCTTCTTTCTCCTCCTCCTCCTCCTCCTCCTCCTCTTCTTTCTCCTCCTCCTCCTCCTCCTCCTCCTCCTCTCCCACCCTATCCACATTATCCTACCCCTCCAACTCCACCTTCTCCTCCTCATCCTCCTCCTCCTCTTCCTCCTCCTCCACCGTATCCACCTCCTCCTCCTCCTCCTCCACCTCCTCCTCCTCCACCGTCTCCACCTCCTCCTCCTGTTTCTCTCTCCTCCTCCCTCCTCATTATCCTCCTCCTCTTACTCCCTCCTCCTCTTCCTCCTCCTCCGCCTCCTCCTCCTCATCCCGTCCTGATCGGACTTCCAGCACGGGCCTCTGCCTTCTCCTCCTCCTCCACCTACTTATCCTTATTATTACTAGTATCATCATTAGTATGAGTATAATTACTACGACTACTACTACTACTACTACTACTACTACTACTACTACTACTACTACTACTACTACTACTACTACTATACTACTACTACTACTACTACTACTACTACTACTACTACTACTACTACTACTACTACTACTACTATCTACCTACTACTGACTACTACTACTACTACTACTACTACTACTACGACTACTACTACTACTACTACGACGACTACTACTCTACTACTACTAAATACTACTACTACTACTACTACTACTAACACTCCTACTACTACTACTACTACTACTACTACTACTACTACTACTACTACTACTACTACTACTACTACTACTACTACTACTACTACTACTACTACTACTACTACTACTACTACTACTACTACTACTACTACTACTACTACTACTACTACTACTACTACTACTACTACTACTACTACTACCACTACTACTACTACTACTACTACTACTACTACTACTACTACTACTACTACTACTACTGCTACTGCTACTACTGCTACTACTGCTACTACTGCTACTACGTGGGGCAGAGTGTGACCAGGGGAAAGGACATTCAAATACGGCGCAATTCCAGGACAACTCTGGCGCGAAAGTGAGAGGCCCGAATCCGGAGATATATCCCTGACCACCCCCTACCCTGACAGCTCGGGGCTCTGACCGATCGTCGTCCTCGACCTCCCCGACCTTGGGCGAGAAACAGGCCCGTATCCGCGGACTGCCCGGGCTCGCAGGCCTGCGGATGCAGGCGTCGTTTCGCGGAGGCCCCGCGCGGAACGCATCAGTGCGGCCGCGAGGGCGAGGATACAGACACGTTGGCCGCTCGTGGGTCATGCTCGTCCTCCCCGTGGGCGGTGGGCCCACCCGCTGCCGCGCGGAGGTCCGAATCGGAAGGGCCGAATCAGGAGTTACGCCTCAGCCCACCCCCTGCTCTGATAGCTCGGGGCCTTGATCGATCCTCCCCTCCTCCTCCCCCTGCTCGTCGCCGTCGTCGCAGTGGTCCTGATGCTCCTTGTGTCCCCATGGGCTGAAGCTATGGTGCTTCACCCTCCAGTCTGTCTTCTCACCGAGCAGCCTTCGAAGACTGCCTGACCTGACCTGACTGCGTCTCCTCCTCCTGCTCTCCCGCTCCTCCTCCCCGTTTTCCTCCTCCTCCTCCTCCTCCTCCTCCTCCTGCTCGTTCTCCGTTCGTCCTCGTCCTTTCCTCATTTCGTCGTACTCCTCCTCCTGTCCTCCTCATCTTCCTCCTCCTCCGCCTCCTCTTCCTCCTTTCCTCCGCCTCAGTCTCCGCCTCCTCCTCCTCCTCATCCTCTCCCTATTATGTTCCTCCTCCTTTCCTCCTCCTCCTCCTCCTCCTCCTCCTCC